CAAATTAGCTCCTGTGCCATTTTTGAGATACTCTAATTTTGATAGCTTTCTTATTTTCAAGCAAAGGAAGCATTCTAATATCATTTTATTCCAAACATAAACTCAGTAAAACCCTTCTTCATTTTAGTGGGAAAATGTGTTTAGAGACCACAATCTGTGCATTAGGGTGCTTCTAGTACTTTCAGTAGTCCAAATATGAAAATACATCATTAAAACAATTAAATAATGAGTTCATATTGATACCACCAACTCAAATTAAAATTTCAGAATTATATATTTTTTTACATTTTATATTTTTATTTTATGGTAAAATTTTAGCTTCTGTTGTCATTAACAACATAATTAGTTATTAATTGTTCTTGATACATATAATAGTTTAATAAATCAATACCAACATTATTTTTTTTTAAAGATTTTATTTATTTATTTGAGAGAGAGAGAATGAGAGACAGAGAGTACGAGAGGGAAGAGGGTCAGAGGGAGAAGCAGACTCCCTGCCAAGCAGGGAGCCCGATGCGGGACTCAATCCCGGGACTCCAGGATCATGACCTGAGCCGAAGGCAGTTGCTTAACCAACTGAGCCACCCAGGTGCCCCAATACCAACATTATTTAACAAGAAAACTATTTAATATATTTTAAGACTTTTGTTATTTTTTTCTGATATATCGTACTATTTCCTACTAATCAAATTACTGTTTTCAATATATGTAAATTTATGAGTTTATAATGAAACTAAAAGTATTTTCATTTTTCGCTTGGGAGGATACTAGGGGACAATTTCAGTATTTTGAAACTGATAAATTAAAGAAGAAGCATCTTGCCTTTTTCATACAATCTTGTAGTTTATGGTAAAATAATAATTGATCAGGAATGTTTCATTTTTATAAAATATTCCTACTAATAAATCAAGAAAGAATGATAGAATTAGATCAGCAACTTAACAACTGGTATGTTTTTGGGCAAATTCCTTATGTTTTATGAGTTTATTTGTAGTATTTATAAGTGGGGATGCTCGTTACCAGGCTTTGCCCTTAGGTATCTCCCTGTAACTGAACCAAAATTTCGGGAGAAAGTACATTAGCAATGGTAGGCTAACTAAGGTAGTAATCAGTCCCCAAATATTAACGCCTTAGTAAAATAAAAGGGCTTTTTTTATACTCCCATTACATGGCTATGTGATCCTGTTCCATGAAGTCAAACATGATACAGTCCACTCCATTTCCTTTTAGGCCCTTGCAATGCTCTATATGGATTTTGGTTTACTAAGTGATTTGCTTTGGTCAAAGTTGCATCAGCAAACATGCAATCAGAGACCTGACAATTGCTCACCATCTTCTTGATCTTGGAGACTTTACCAATGGGAATTTGCTTGTGAGAGTATGAGAGGCCACACAGGGAGAACAAATGCACCCCAACAAGCCCCGCTGACCTAGCAGCTAAGTGCAGATGAATGGGCAGGCATCACAAGACATTCTGAGCCTTACCAGAAACTGCCCAGATTAGCCAAGACCTGTAGAATCTTGGAACGATTGTTGTTTTAAGTCAGTTTTGGAGTAGTTTGTTATTTGGCAATGGATAACTGATACACTGGGAATATAGATGAAGCAAGATTAGCCAAACATAATAATATGATAAAATCAGGTTCATTTTATTACTCTGCATTCTTTACATAAATTTCAAACATTCTATAATAAAGAGTTAAAAAGAAACTACTGAGGGCGCCTGGGTGGCTCAGTTGGTTAAGCGACTGCCTTCGGCTCAGGTCATGATCCTGGAGTCCTGGGATCGAGTCCCGCATCAGGCTCCCTGCTCAGCAGGGAGTCTGCTTCTCCCTCTGACCCTCCCCACTCTCATGTGCTCTCTCTCATTCTCTCTCAAATAAATAAATAAAATCTTTAAAAAAAAAAAACTACTGAATGTCAGTATCATTTGAAATAATTTTTAGTTAATTTGTTTTAATTTCCTTTCAATGTTTAGGAATTGCTCTTTTTTATTATATTTGATTTTTTAAATTATTTAAAATACTTTTTTTTCCAAAATTTAAAATATAAATATCCAGAAAGTTCTAGCGTTCATCTCTGTACCCTCTCCCCCTTTCTTTCTCTCTCTCTCCCCTTAGACATCCATTTATATTAGTTGTTACATGACTATTTTGGGAGGCATTTTAGAGATTTGTTAGTGAATTATTTGTTACCAATATATAGACAACTAGGCAAACAGGAGAATAAGGCAGTTATTAATTTCGAGAAAAACTACATTTGTTTGAGAAAAGGAAAAATAATCACATTATAAGATTTGCTGTTTGTGAGTGGCATGTATGTTGTCACATCACTGTAAACGGTATCCATTGATCTAACTAAAATTACAATACAACTATATTGGAGGTATGGGGGATAGAAAATTCTTTGGATGTGGGGGGTAAAGAAAAAGCCAAATTCTTATCTTTATGTTAGTAAGTGAATAAAAAACTGTATAAATGAAAATAAACCAAGAAATTGCAGTTTGGACATGCTATTCAGAAATACAAATAGTCAATACCAAAAGAATGAACTAAGAACTAAAAGTCATCTTCTTTGCAGAAGGGTGGTGGGACCTGTTGGTTTTTCATAAGGATCCTTGTGATTATCTTGTGAGTATATTTTTGAATCCTTACTAGTTGTATGAGGTAAGCTGTTTCTTATAGCCCCATGAAAATATTAATTCTTTCAGAGTTTATTACCTATCTATTGCTGCCTAATGACTTATAGCAAAACTTGGCATCTGGAAACAATAGATATTATTACCTCATAGTTTCCCTGGGTCCTTGAACAACTTAGATGGGTGGTTCTGTCTCAATCTCTCATGGAGCTGCAATTAAGATGTCAACCAGAACTACAGTCATTTTGGTGTTTGACTGTGGCAGTCTGCTTCAGGGCTCACTCACATGGCATGCCCAGAAGCCTCCAAGCTCACTCATGTGGACCTCTTCCAGGGCAGCCTCTGGACAGAGCAGTTGGCTTCTTTGACAGCGAGTGATCCAGGAGCACCCAAGATGGAGGCCACGAACTTTTTAAAATCTAGTCTTGGAAATGCTATCTATCACCTCTATCATAATCTGTTAGAGGCACATCCATCAGTCCAGCCTGCACTCAAAAGGAGGGCATTAATTCAGGAACAAAATTTGAATGCAAGGATGTGGATAAGATATCTTAGGGGTTGGGGCGTCTGGGTGGCTCAGTCGTTAAGCATCTGCCTTCGGCTCAGGTCGTGATCCCAGGGTCCTGGGATCGAGTCCCACATCGGGCTCCCTGCTCAGCGGGAAGCCTGCTTCTCCCTCTCCCACTCCCCCTGCTTGTGTTCCTGCTCTCGCTGTCTCTCTCTCTCTCTGTCAAATAAATAAATAAATAAATAAATAAATAAATAAATAAATAAAAAGATATCTTAGGGGTTGCCTACAACAGGAGAAGTGGCTTCTCCCAGTTCCCATAAGTAAGTGTAAGCAGTAGCCTTGTGATGCAAAACCACCCAATTTGATTCCAGGGCTCATGTTCTTAACCACTGTGTAACTCTCACATTTGTTGCCTGTGTGGTATTTACCCTGCATGTGAAAGCAACGCCTCCTTTCACACTGTTGCCATCTTGGAAGTGTAGGGTGGTGGGAGGGATAATACACATAAGAGCTGACTTTCATATGTATGGCACACACCCAGGTGTGTTAGGTTTGAGCAAACAGAAATAAGCTATATGTTATGCTCTGTATATATGATGCAAACTATGACTCCCCCATTTACCTCTGGTTCCGAAAGTGTGCATGACTGCAAGAGAGAATTATAGGAGTACAAGGATAACCTTGGATTCACTCTAATTTATAAAAAATCAAACCCTCTCAAGCTTTAGAATTTTATTGGTAATGAATTATCTGAGGCACCCCTCACACTTGATCATGACAAAGTGCAGCTTCATATTTCTGGGATGAAGCATTAGTCACAGGAGCATGTTGGCTAAGGTGAGGAGCTGGTGCTATATCTTTAAAGCTGTTGAGAGCCACTGAAGTGTTTTAAGCATGGGAGGATGACGTAATAGGATAGGTACCTGCTCCTCTGAGCTATAGCATTTTGTCTAAAACATCAGATGACATTCTACATTCTCATGCATGAGACAGCAGATGCCTCCTTTACACGCCACTGAATTCATTCATGTTACTGTAATGAGACTTATAAATTTCTCATATCTGCATATTGGTCAAAGTACCCTATTTCAAGGCACCCGTGTCTGCCCCTCTCTCTGTGCACGTAACCAAATTTGTGGCTACAGCCAGGCTGTGAGCTTTCTATGGCACATACTGATTGCCTCATTCATGGTCTGTTGTCAGGTGGCAAACACGCTATTGACACATATTAGGAATTCAATGAATGTTGTTAAGTCAAAATGGACTCAGCTGGATTGGACGTCTGCTCTGTTTTAGGTACCGTACTGAGCTCTGGATGTACAGAAATAAGATAATGTCATTTTATTTTATTAATAAAAAATTCATGACCATATATATTCATTCAGTTTTTCATTCATTAATCAAACATTTTTGAACTGCTCTGAATGTGGCATTGTGCCAGGTGCTGGAACACAGCCTCACACAGCACAGGGCTGCTGCTCTTACAGCTTCTGTGACCACTGTTGGGACAGAACAGCATATGATGATCCTAGCTCAGTACACTGTGTGGGCACAGAATAGGGGCTCATACATCAGCACAGAGAAGGGCCACAATTGAGGGAAGGGGAGATTTTGGGGGGGAAGTAAACTCAGTGGTTCAGAAGAATGGATGCCAGGATGAATGGGGGTGCAACTCCATCAAGTATTGGGACACTGGATTGCGAAGACCTGGGTGGGGGAAGTGGGAAATCAAGGCTCTAGAAGGGGAAGGAATCAACAATGAAAGTAATATTAGTAGGAGTTACTGATCTCTCTAAAGTGACATGCAAAACCAAGCAAACCTTCATCTCTGCTGTCTTTGTGTCTTTCTAGCCCTCTACGAGCAATCCTGCGAGGTGTACAGGCACCAAGGGAACACAGCTGGTTTCTTCTACATTGACTCTGATGGCAGCGGGCCACTGGGACCCCTCCAAGTGTATTGCAACATCACAGGTAAGGATCAGAATCCCTACTCACTCTTAACCTAGCTATGTGATGGTACACAGCAAAAGAAGACCACTGGAAGGGGATATGTGTAAATAAAAATTTAAAGAACCAACTTCTGTGTAGGGGGGATGTTATTTAAGTAAATAATAGAAATTGGCAGCTGGGTTATCTTCATTAGAGAGGAAGACTTAATGGTCTTGATCACATTCTGCTGAACCAAGAATTAACTCTGAAGCATTTTCTTTAGAGCTTGGCCAGGACATTTTCTCTCTTAAAACTTAAAAGCAGAAAGAAAAGAAAAACAACTAAACAAACAAAAAACAAAACTCAAAATCAATAGGGAACCCTGACTCAGGAAGTGGGAAAGTGTGATTCATGTCTGGCCCCGGGAAAGGTGTGAATCCCATATGCTTTCTGAGCTTCAGTTGTTCATCAGTGAAATGGGAAAAGTAGTTCCTTCCTCCCAGAGTTGAAGATGAGACACAATCATGAGTATTGGAGGAATTGGCCAGGCTACTTATCCAATAGATGCTTAATAAGAAAAGTGAGCTATTTGCATTTTCCTGGCCACTCCTTTCTAAGTGCAGAAAGTCATAGTAAGAATTAATTATTGCACAGATTTAAAAACAATATACGACCACTAAGTTATTCTGAAAAATAATTCCTCAAAGCCAAAACCTGATGTAATAGTTCCTTAAAAATACAGCAATGCAAGTACCCTCTCCATTGTGAGTGTCATTAATTGACACATACACATTTGTGTGTGTTTGTTTCAAGCTCTGGCCTTTGGAAATGACAACAGAATCTTGTAATAAAGCAGAAAAGTAGGAGGGTATTAGGGCTCATTGAGTACTCAGGTTTCAGGCTTCCCTGCAACAAGGCAAGCACATTCACCGAGCTCTGTCTGTAGCCACAGGCTGGCCTGGGCACTGAGGATATGCAGAAAAATAAGACACAGCCACTCTCATTTGTGAGGCAATAATATCAGGAAAAATGTCATGTACTATCAGAAGTAGAAATGCAAGCAAACCATTGCAAAACTGGTGATTATGGGCACTTAGCCATTTGTTCAACCGGATACAAACAACCACACTTCTTCTGCAGAAGATGTTAGTTACACAGAATTAGATGCATTTCACTGCATTTCCTTAAAACTTCATCTCTCCAAACTGCATATATGCTGGCTGCTTCTCAACTTCCCTATAACACAATTAGAAATTGTGACACTGTTTTCTTTTCTACGTTATGGTAACGTATAGCATTAACCTATAGGTGAAGAACTAGTTTTCTCCGTGGATCTTGATTATTTTCAAAATGTGATTAACACATGGAGCTCCAGTGATTCTTGTTAAAAATTCAGACTTTCTAGCTTAAGAAATTGATTTCAGTAAATGCCGTTTTACTGAGTCCCCTAAGTGATTCCGATGCAAACTGTCCCTGGTTTACCCTTTACCAAAAAACAGAGGAAGTGATTTGGCTGCAGAATAAGGGCAAGGGGACCAATGCCTGCTGATGAGAGATCAGGTGTGATTGCTTGTCTCCTACCCACTTTGGGAGCTGAACTGAGAGTTTACAAATACCATTTCTTACACTCCTCACAATAAAAACCTGAGATAGATATTTTTATCTCTATCTTACATAGAAGGAAAGAGAATATGAGAATTTCATGACTTGCTCGAGGTAATAAATACTGGGACTAATAGTCAAGACTCAGGAAGCAAACAAAACCTTCTGGTGCAGTAATAATTTATATCACTCAAGCATTAACTGGATACTTTGTATTGCTTATGTTTTGCTTTAAACTGATTTTATTTTTGTTATAAAATAAGTCAATATTAATTATAGAAAATTTAACGAAAAAAGCAAGGTCTGAAGAAATTGTTAAAGTCACCTTTAAACCACAATCCACAGATTGCCATTGTTATTTTATTGTTAGGATTTCCTTGGGATTTCTTTTTTCTGTGAATGCATATGTGTGTTTCTTCTATGTACATATTTTTAAATATATATTTTAAAATCATGAATTTAATAGATAAGCATAGACTTGCCCTTATATCATTAAAATATACTTTGAGATTAAAATATATACATTAAATATGGCTTAAAATTATTAAACTCTTCAAAATTATGTAAGCACAGTGACACAGAGGGTATAATTGATTCATAGGTCTCATTTACATGATGTTCCCTGCCTCTTTGGAAAGACTTCTCTTGGGGCTAATGTATGATATTTTGTCCAGGAATGGCTAAAGAGGAATGCTTACTTGTATTTAAAGGTTGCTATTTTGCTGATGTAATACTGAAGGAATCGGGACCTCGGAGTTGTCCTGGAGTTCACAGGTTTGATTATGTGTGACTGGGCATTTCTTTTACATATGCTGTTTTGGTTATGTGCAGTTGCAAAACATAGGTTTCCTTCTTTTTGTTTTTGTTTTTCTAAAAGAACTGTAAAAATAAAAGCAAACCTCAGTACAGGATAAATTCTATAATTCTCATTTAACTGACACACATTTTAATACATCAATATAATGATAATCAAACACATGTTTTTCTATTTATAATTGTTAAATGTTCTTAAATATGAATGACTTTTGACACCAGTGAAAGTGTAATGAAGTGGCCCAGGGAAGAGAGGGAAGGAGGAGGGAGAGAGAGAATGGACAAACAGAACAGAGGGACCAGAACAGTGTGGGGTGGGGTGGGAGGGAGACTCGTTCTGTGTTTACCCCCTTTTCTGAAAACACAAAGTTGCTCTTCTCTGCTCTTTTCAGCTGCATTATTGGGGTAATCACACAGAGAGTGTAAATGGCACCGGAAGGCAGGGGACCTGGGTTCTCTGTCTGCACCTTGCACCAGTCAGCTGAGTGTCCCTGGCCTAGTTGCGCATAAATAAGATATGGGATCCTAAAATAAGGATGTGGGGCGAGGTGGTCTCACAGGCCTTCCTCATTTAGAATTCCCTGAGAGATCATTTGAGGTTCGACAGAACAGGGGATGTTTCTCCTAAGAAATCTACAGATACTTGCAAATAGATGTCGTAAGGGTGAAGGGCAGGTTTTAGATTGGAAAACAGTAAATTCTAATCACAACTGCATCTCTCTTCACAATGTGCCCTGGGTGGACGTTAGCTTCCCATTCCTATACTGCAGATGGCACCTTACCCCTCCCAGGAGATTTATGTCTGTGCATCTCACCTAGCAGAGGGTGATCTTGGGGAGATGAGCTTCCCAAACACTCACAAAGCAATGGCCCCATTCACTGGAAGGCAGGATGATCTCTGCATGGGGACAGTATGCCAATTTATGGGAGTAACCTAAGGGGGGTGATTAGGCTTATTTATAAAGTGGACTGAATCTGAACCTCTACACATTTTGACAGTGTGCCTGTGTTCTAAGTCGGTTCACCAGGGCACTAGCAGGTAGGAGAGAGGGAAGGCCCACTGTGGAGTGTTGAGTGAAATTATGGATGAAGAAGATAAAAAGTTTCTGGGGCACCTGGGTGGCTCAGTCGGTTAAGCGTCTGCCTTTGGCTCAGGTCATGATCCTGGGATCCTGGGATCAAGCCCCTCATTGGGCTCCCTGCTCAGTGGGGAGCCTGCTTCTCCTTCTCCCTCTGCCTGCAGCTCTGCCTACTTGTGCTCTCTCTCTGTCAAATAAATAAATAAAATCTTAAAAAAAAAAAAAAGAAGATAAGTTTCTGCAGGAATGCACAGTTGGCCTGCTTCTAACATCTCTATATAAGATTTATAATTCCGTTCAGCTCAATATAAGTTTGCACATTTCAGGCACTGTGAAGACTGCAACAGATACAAAATAGTGTCTGCATCAGTTTCTCCAGGCTGCTACAACCAATTGAGTGGCTTAAAAATACCCAGAAGTGTATGCCTCACAGTTCGGGAGGCTGGAATTCTGTCCCAAATCAAGGTGCTGTGGGGCCACACTACCTCTGAACCCTATAGGGGGGAATCCTCCCTTGCCTCTTCTGGCTTCTGCTGGCTTGCCTGACCTTTGGGCATTCCTAGGCCTTAGCAGCAGCGCTTCAGTGACTGCGTCCCCAGATTGTCATCCTGCTTCCATGTAGCCTTCTCCTCTCATGCGTCTGTTTCTTCTCTTCTTATAAGGATATCAGTCATATTGGATTAGGATCCACCCTAATGGAGTATAATCTCATCTCAAGTTGATTACATTTGCAAGGAACCTATTGCCAACAAAAGTCATGCTCACAGGTGTCAAGGGTTAGTACTTCCATGTATTTTTTGGACAGAATTCTACCCATAATGGTATCATTTCAGTCTCCTTCACAGGTTAATCATGGAGAAGACACAACAGCAATTATAATATGAGGGTCATGACAGGGTATGTATAGTGTTCTGGGAGCCCACTGGAGGGACACCTAACCGAGCCTCCTGTACAGTGGAAGGTATTTTGGGTAGGCAGATAATGCATGTTTCTAAGATCTGGATGGGGAGTAGGAGCTATCCAGAAGAAGGCAAAGCAGGGCATTTCCAGGAAGAACAAATGAATGTCAGGAACAGCATTCCTGCGTCCCCTGAACCTGTATATTTGTGAGGGCCACCAAACTCACCAAGATGAGTTGCGACTTTAGAACACTGAGAAATTCATCAAACTGAATGAGTAGAAAAGGATCACATTTACCTGAGTAGGGGCAAGCAAAAGCTGTTGAAAGTCCATAATATGAACTATAGTTTCCCAGCAAAGAAATATACTAAGTCAATTCCAGGGAAAAGAAGGAATGTTTTATGATAGACAGTTGTTGAGCATGCAGACTAGTTGACTGTCCCTGAATGAAAGATGAACCACTTTCTGAGCACCAGACAGAAGATGCCATCCTCATATCATTCAAGGACTTTAGCACTGTTATCTTCAGGACAGTGGGACACTCAAAGGGCTTGCTCAAATTAGGGACTGTTTACAAAGGTGTGAGCCTACAAAAGGAAATTATGGGAAGGGGAAGAGCAGAGCTAGTAACAGAGGGGTTTTTCCCAC